TAAGGGTCCGTACTTCAGAGCCCTTGGGACCGTATTCAGGGACCATGAATCGACCCTCGGAAAGAGGAGGCATAGGGGCTTTTGGTCAAGGGCATGTGGGGAGGTTTTAGAGCTGAAGGTTTAGGACTTCAGGGACCTTGGAGAGTTTGGAGCTTCAGGCACGCGCAAGGGGCTTGAGAGCATAGGGCTTGAGGGAAGCCCGAACAATGGTAGAACATCAAAACCCTAAACCCTAAACAAAAAACAATAAACCCTAAACCCTAAACCCGAAACCCATCTATGAGCCCCTATTGCGCCCAAAGTTCGGCCTCGTCGGCGAACACGACCTGAACACAGGCGTGCTTGGAGGTTCACGGTACTTAGTAACTAATGTATAGCTGTACTTATAACCCACTTACAAGCCCCTGAAGTGCCCTAATATTGTTATAAGTACAGTTATAAGTGCAGTTATGAGCAATAACTAAGTGCCATGAACCTCCAAGCGAGCCCGGGCCCCCCAAAGCCCATCTGGTTTTCCACATGATTCGGATGTGCGGATGCGCCCACGACCTAAAACCCTAAACCCCAAACCCCAAACCCTAAACCCTAAACCCCGAGCCCTAAACCCTAAACCCTAAGCCCTACAATCCAAAAGCCCTCTGTAACCGAATCGCCCGCCACCCAGGGAGCCTCGGGCCCTCACGAAACGAAGGGTACACAGAACTTATATAGGGTTTAGGGTTTAGGGTTTGGGGTTTAGGGCTTAGGACTTAGGGTTTAGGACTTCGGGTTAGGAGGTTCAGGGTTTAAGCTTGGGCTTGAGGGTCAAAAGGGGCCTTGGGGCTGGGCACTAAACCCTCAACCCTCAACCCTCAACCCTCAACCCTAAACCCTACACCCTCAACCCTAAACCCAAACCTTAAACGCTAAACCCTCAACCCTCAACCCTAAACCCTAAACCCCCGGATACCGATGCGGCCCAGCCACGTAGCCCCAGGCATCTGGGAGGTGCATGTTGACCTGACCGGCCTCAAAACCCAGAGAGAGATAGAGGGTTTAGGGTTTAGGGCTTAGGGCTTAGGGCTTAGGGAGGGGGAGAGAGAGAGAGAGAGAGAGAGAGAGAGAGAGAGAGAGAGAGACTTTTTGACTTTGAGATCGCAGAACGACAGGCGTCCCTTGCGCGGTCAGTAGGCAGACTAGTGTCCGGCTGAAAGCTATGTACTGCTGTACACACCTAATAGAGAATCAGAGACGCACCCCGCCCCGTAGGGCCTAGCAAGTGCAAGTCGCAAAGTACATGTACACTTCCCTTCAACAAAACTAGAGCTTCAGACAGCAGAATATATAGCAATTTGCTGTCACTAGTGAAACAGCTCTGCAGGGTCGAGCAGGCGTGTCGTCGTCGGTGATCCACCACGGCGGCTCCCACGTAGGGGCCGGAGGCGAGGACACCTCTTCACGGACCTGAGGGGCACGAGGGGTGTGTGCAAGGAAGGCTCTGTGTAGTGTCCTGACTTGGGGGTGGGCCCCAGGTGAAGTACCCCTCCAACAACCTGATACGGAGACCAGCTAACAGCACTTGTCCGCCCTTGGAACACAGGCAGCAGCACACGCTGCTGAGGCTCACAGGGCAGAGGCCTGTCGTCCTTTCCCCTTTCCGGATCGACACACCTGGCAACGCAGAGGAAAACTATGCGGGGGGGCATGACAAGGGCATGTGTGGGGATTTGTGCACTCCACGAGCTGATGCAGTCTTGCAGGCTGTCAGCAGCAGACATTGACAGGAGCTCAATCAGGGCAGACCCTTGCAGACATGGTGGAGGTACAGAGACCCCCTCTGAAATGTCATCCTCTCGAGCCTGCCAGTGGCAACACAGTTGGGGCATGTCGAACCTGCTGAGGAGGAACCTCAGAAATTCCGCACAGTCGTGCTGTTCCTGAATGGCAGGCCAGCCTTGTAGCAGCAACCTCCAAGGCAACAGTGCCAGCAGGCTAATAGACCCTTTTTCGAGGGGGGTGCCAGAGAGCCTCACCACCGTCTGTTCCACTGCAGCGGCTACCACGCATGGGCCGAAGGACCTGCAGGCATCAATGGCGTATGCCAGGAGCATAGCCACAGCATGAATGTAGCACAGATTACTGGAGTTTCTCAGGCGCAAGGAGCGGAGAGAGGGGCTGATGCATATAGGAGGGGGGGCCTGGGCACTCGTGTTCAGGAGAGTGCTTGCAAGCTCCTCCATGTGTGAGGGCCGATGGCGACTGGCTGGCTTCAGGCGGGCAGCCAGGAGGAGGAGTGCTGCCGATGTGAACCAGCGACGGAAGATCTCCATGGTCTGCGCGGCATTTGGGTCTTGCATGCTCACCTCCAGGACGAAGGTGGCCGTCTCCCCCTTCAGCTCCCCCGACCAGTTTGCGGGTGGAGTCGAACTTCAGCACCATATGGGGGGCTAAGAGCAGTCTGGTCAGGGCGGCCAGGTCCTTTTGAAATGAGGCCATGGGCCATGGGTATGCCTTTCTGCTGGGTGGGAATCAGCTTCTTCTCGGCGGCATTCCAGCGCATGTAGTTCCATGTCATGTCCGAGGTCAGCCAGCCCAGATCCTGCGCCTTCTTGATCGCATCGGGGCTTGTGGTGAAGAGGTCGAGCCTCTGCGTGAGCTCCTGCAGCAGGTAGAGCACCAGCGTGTGCCTCAGAGACCTGGAGATCGTCTGGGGCTGGTTCTCCTTCTTCTCCTTCCACGACGCGGCTACCTCCAGGAGGGCCGGGATCACATGGTAGGGCTGGGTTCCCAGCTGGAAGGTGAAGATGACTGTGCGGTCGGCCTGGAGACGGAAAAGGTAATCCCCTGCCGTAGGAGCCCTCGGATCACGAGCTGAAGGTGACCTTGGCCGCCAGAACCATTGGAGGCCTGTCCATGTTGACGCCTTCCCTTGCCCTTTCCACCCTTGCCGTTGGTTCCTTTGCCCGGTTCCCTTTTGCTCGTCTTCGGCTGACGGTCCGCTTGGGCCTCCAGCGGCGCCGTCTGTGGGGCCGTGCGCTTGCCGAGGAGGTGTCCGAACACCGTGTCCATCTCCTGGTCTGTCGTCGACGGGGTCGGGAGCGCCATGGCCATGATGCGCTTGTGGTGCCGCTGTCCAGGTTGAATGCCGCAGCGGTCTTGGATAGCAGCGCACAGAGCCTAGCTTGCCACAGTACAGGGCACGTGCTACAATGGACGTCCGTGCGAGAGATTGCCTTGCCACAGTAACGGCATGGGCTACAAACATGTCCAACCTTGGCACAGGTAGCAGTCGCCTGTTTTCCGAACTGCTTGTACAGGGTCGGGTGTGTCTTCGAGACATGAAGTTTGAGGCTACTGATGTTGGCAATCCACTGTCCACAGAGTACACAAAACTGGCGCAGAACTGCTCCGACCTCCGGCCGCCTAGCTAAGCCTAGCCACTCATGAAGAGGGGCCTGCAAGAACAAAAGCTGTGTGGGGGACGTGTGTGGTGCAGTGGGGGGCTGGGGGTTGGCAGAGGGAGGCTGGGTCTGACCCGACAGCCAGAGCTTAGAGCAATGCTGTAAGTCGAAATGCCGGCAAAAATTGAGCCACGTTACCAGGTTCTTGCCGCAGTGCCTACACTCCGGCATCCCATTGGCAGAATGCTGCCGATGCTCCTGAGCCACACACTTCTTGGCCGCCCCGATCTCGTGTACCTGCAGACGGTGCTTCTTTAGTGCACTAAGGTCAGCAAACCACAAGTGACACTCCGTACAAGCGAACACGGCTGGCTTCAGACCATCCTGGCACTGAATAGGCTCGTTTTGCGCGGCGCCCTGAAGCGGGGCCGGGGCCGGTTTGCTGACCCGGTCCTCGTCACCCGGCGTGAAGGGGGTGTGGGAGGTGAGATGGGAAGCACACGCTGCCAAGGAGGACGCGCTCGCCTGGAGACCCTGTCGAACAGCCGGGAGCCGCACCATGGGGTCCTGACTCTGCAAAGCCTTGGTGAGAGTGTGCGCGCAACGGCACTGCAGCGTAGTGAGCGGGTCACTGAGGCGCACACGAGAGAGAAGGTCGAAGCTGGATTCCTTAGTCATGTGCGCAAAACTACGGGTAATGGCTCGGACATGCTTAACCAAGACCTGCGTGAGCCGATCTATCTGCTTTTGACGTAAGCCGATCACGTGCAGCCCGTAAAGAGCGGAACTGCACACGCATGCCTGCCAAAGCTGCAGACGCCGGTGCATCGGGATGGATTTGCTGTGTAGCACCTTCAGCAGGCGCGCACGCTGGATTTCCGCAGTGCGAAGCCTATGTGCCAGGGTTTGGGCAGCAAAGTCCCCACAACACAAAACTATTCCCAGATACGTAATCGAGGTGACAATGGGGAGGTGTAGCGGCGCTGAGCCCTGACGAGGCAAGACAAGATACCTGCCGTCAGGCGTGCGGGCGGTGTGCCGCGCGAGCCACTGTTTAGCCTGGCGACCCCGGCAGGAGATCATGACATTCGTCTTCTTGTGTTGCACATCCAGACCCAATCTCTGCATGATGAGCAAACACCGTGCCACAAGCAGGAGAAACGAATCGAGCTCAGGGACAGAAGTGAACTCCCACTGGAGAAGGAGGTCGTCTGCAAAGACGGTGGCCACATCCTGGACAGTGGCCTGGGAGGAATGGTGGGCCAGAGCCTTCAGCAAAGCAACAGTGATGAGAACCCACAAGCTAGGAGCCAGCGGACAGCCCTGTCTGACACATCTGTGGCTAGGCACCCTCCGCTCCGGTTCGATGACTGACGGGTGATATCCAATGGAAGCACGCATGCTCATGATCACGACAATGTCTGCCTGCGGGACTCCGGCCTGCCGAAGCTCGATCTCAAGGGTAGTTCTATCAATCGTGTCAAAGGCCCGAGAAGAATCTACGGAGATAGTGATACCTCCACAGCAAGGGGTGGGTCGACGACCGGTGTTCCTGCGCTCGTGCAAAGGGACACGCGCGTGCGCGAGACTGGCGTTGACGCCGGCAATGATGCGCCGCCTTCGCTATAGCGTGCTCGATGCTTCGACCAGGCAGGTACGCGAATTGGGGCCAATCAGCGGCAGCCTGGGCGAACCAGGGCCGAAGTCGCGTACACAAAGCCTTGGCGACCAGTTTACCGCCCGCATCAGTAATGGAAATTGGTCTCATATTGGCCGGCTGGTCGCTGGGCTTGTTTGGCTTGGCGAGCCAGGCGATCCAGGCGTCCGCCCACAGGAGCGGAAAAGGAGCGCCCTCCCAGATGCGGCGACACAGACTGTGCACATGGGGAAGCACAACATCCTGGCCAAACTTCCAGAGCTGTATGCTGGCAAGGTGTCGAGGCACAGCCTTGCCCGTTTCCAGAGCGCGCAGGGAGTCCTGCAAGTCCTCGAGCGGGGGCGGGCGGGGGGGCGGGCGGAGCAGCCGAAGGGGAGTCGCAGGGGGGGGCTGGAGTGAGAGGAGACATCCATGTTCCCCGCGGAGCTGAACGCGTTGTGCGGGGGGCCAGTCGTCTAATTACAGCATAGAGCGCACGTTGGTCCCCAAGTTGTTCGGCGTGCACAGCCTTTTCCAAACAATCCTGGAAAATTTCTCGTTTGACGCCTCGGCTTCGCTTGCGAATGGCAGAGTGGGAGCCAAGGTAGCGAGCCCAGAGAAGCCATCCCCGCATGGCCGTGCGAAGGACGGCGTGACTAGCGTCGGTCCCCGCGCGCAGGGAGAGCGAGCGGTGGCCCCACACCTCCGAGTACTGTAGCGCGCGTCGACGCGCCTGCCACATGGAGAGAACGGCTCCCTCCAACACCTGTTGCGGGGTGGTTGTGGTGGTTGGCGGGTCCGGCGTATCGAGGTGTCTGCCTGCACTGCGCAGGGCATGGTTGAGGGATTCGGGGCTGACGGGACCAGAGGCAAGGAGGGTTGCAAGCTCCTCTCTGAAAGCAGAGAGGGCCTCCGGGGCTTGCTCCACTAGGTACTTAGGGGACGGAGGAAGCGGTTTGGGCGCGTGGCCCGCTTGCTGGTAGTGGAGGGCCGGAATGCTGGCCTGGACAGGGCGGTGGAGAGCGCCTCCACGCCAGCGCAGAACGTGAAAGGCATGGTCGGGGCGGGCCTGCTTTGCCAGACCGTCCGATTGAGCACGGCGCATAAGGAGGAAGTCAATCTGGCTACAAGCTGATTCATGCTGGAAGGTGGACATGTGTGTCCTGTGGCCCCAGGTGTTCAAAGCAGTGAGGCAGTGGACACGGGCAAGGTTGGCCAGAGAGTCCTTGTCAGGGTGAGGCGACTGCGAGCGCGCGGTGGACGGGCCAAACCTGTGCCCATCGAATGTGCCCACACAGTTAAAGTCACCCCCTAACAGGAGGGTGTTTCTGATGGGGATGGTGGATATTAGCTGGTCGAGCCGAATCCAAACCCTCTCACGCTTGTGCAGAAGCTGTTCCCGGTCACTGCCACTGTGCCAGGCATACTGATAAGTATTGATGACATCCACATGCCTACCCTTGAAGGGGAACCTAACATGGAGAACATGTCCTGCCAGGATTGAACTCCAACGAACATCAGGTTCATCAACAAGCTCCCGGCGCACCAGGACTGCACAGCCTTGATGTCGGTGGTCAGTAGTGCCTGAGTGGACGACGTGGTACTTGGGGAGAGGGAAGAGGTTACTAAACTGCCAATGTGTCTCTTGCAGCAAGACTATATCGTGGGCGCATTGCGTATGCAACCAGACCTGAACCTCGACCCAGGCATCATGTGACAAACCCCCAACAACATTCCATGTAACAACACTCAATCTGGGGCCATGTCTGGTAGGGGGCGGGTGCCGCGGCTTCACACGAGGTGGCCGATCCGACACGGAGGGCTGAATGATGTGCCTTAAAGTACTAACGCTGTGCAACTTTCCCCTATACCATGTGAGGCCATGAGGGTTTGCTTCTGCTCGGCGCACGGCTCGGCCAAGGGCCCGCTTGACACCCGAGCTCGCCTGAGGGTGCCTGGCTGGCGCCACTGATGCAACACAAGTTTGAGGAGAGCGGCGCAGTAACTCACACAGAGCCAGTGCACCGCCAGCCCTGCTCCGCATTGGCCTCCACTAGCACGTGGCCGGGACCTGGGCAAGTCAGGCGTGTCAGAGTGCGGGGGGTTAGGGCAGCAGCCGCACAGAAAGGAGGGCGTAAGTGTGAGTGCAACCACAACAGCAAAGACAGCCACGGACCTCGACTTTTTGCGCATCCCTCCGGACGGTCCAAAAGTGTTGGCGGCAACCGGTTGGCCCGAGCCGAGATCGATGGTGTACGAGGGCGGGATGGTCTGCTCCGTGAGATAGACCTGGTTGGAAGAACGGTGGATCACGAAACCATCAGACAGGAGAGCAGCAACGTCAATCCTCAGAGCCACTTCTGCATCGTCCCTAAAGCCGGAGATAGGCATGCGGCTCCCAGAGGGGCCGTGGTTTGGGTCCTTCTGATAAACGGCGATGTGGACGCGGCGGCGGTAGCTGGGGCCGCGCTCCCCTCCAGGCATCAGTCCACGCTGAGCAATGGACCCCAGATGGCACCGCAGGGTGCCATGAAAGCACGCCACAGAGGCTCGAAGAGGCGCTCCAGTGCATCCGGCACATAGATGGAGTGCGCCTGGGTGGCCCTGACCAACGATCGCCCATCCTCCACCACATGCTCGAACCTCTGCTTGGCGTTTGACGCAATCGCCTGGACGACCTCTGCCGGGGTGGAGTTTAGGCGCCGCATGGCAGGTTGTCGCAGGACCGCAGCCAGACTGGCATATCCATCTGACCGGATGTGCAGTCCACTGGCCCCGGCTTTATGTCGAAGAACTGCCGACAGAGCGCGAGACAGCTGCTCCTCCCTGCCTCTGGGGGCGGCTGGTCGACGCGCGCCCTTGCTGCGGTCCTGCCTGGGCGGTCCCGAGCGGGACCTGGTCTCCTCTCTGGGCGGCCACGTCGTCCAGCGAGCAGGCGAAGCAGAAGTGCATGCTCCAGCTGCGGGCCGTGACGGAGGGTGGGGCCTGCCAGCGGCCGCGGCTCCCAAAATGGGGCCGCTTCCTCCTCTTCACGAACCAGAGCTTCCTTTTTTTCAAACCAGCGGACTCCTGCCAGGAAATCGAGGTCGAAGCCTCCGAGGACACCTCCAGGATGTCGTCCAGGGCGAGACCGCCAGCAGGGCTGGCCTCAGCATCGACAGGTTCTGCAAAGAAAGCAGCGAAATGTGCCACACGCGTGGCCCAAGGTGTGGCCCACTCCAATTGATAATACAATCTTGCCGGCAGTGACTGGTGGAGTTGGTGAACATGAACCAGGAGCTGACAAAGTGTCTCCCTCCAGCAGGCTTCCGTCACATCTCCAAGTGGGGTTAGCGCAAGAAGCGAGCCGGGACGAGCCAATCCATGTTCGAAAGCCAGCCAGCACTCCATGGCATCACCTGCTTTGCCCTCGCTCCTCATGCGCTGCGCAAGCCCCGGGAAGATGAGCGCACAGCTGGCAGCTATAGCCCAGTTGCCAACTCTGCGCACATGCTGAGTGAGTTGGGAGCTTGCGGAATGGCACGAATGAGCCTCCAGCGCCGAGCACAGTCCTCCGGAGCGGCGGCCGCCTGCCTGGGCACAAACAAAGCGGGCTCCTCAGGGGGGCCGAAGATGAGGTCTCACAGCCAGGCGTAGCCCACGGCGGTGGGTCCACTGGCGCCACCGGTGAAGCAGCAGCTCCCGAGAGAGCCGAGGCAGGAGCCATTGTCGCGGTTCTCCTTGCAGGCGGAGGGGTAGGCGGCGAACTGCCTCGCGGCGAAGTTTGCGTGCTAACAGCACGGCCTCCACCACCTCTCGGCGTAGTCTGTGTGCTCACAGTAACGCGGCAGGTTCTCACAGGGCTCCCACGCCCACCAACCGGCATCAGTGGCAGCGACTTCAGGGTATGACCTACCTCGAGGCTTCGCATGATAGCAGAAGACTAAGGAGCACAGTAAGGATGCTCCTGTCGGGCTCGAGGCACAGATCCCGACAACCCTCACACCCCCCACCCTTGTAAGCCGTAAAGGTACAAGCCCTGCTGAACTCAGGTGGGGTCCGGACTTGGGACCGGGACGACTCGCAAAATTGCGTGAGTAGCGCGCCTGCCCATGTACAGGTCCGCTTCGTGGAGCAGGTCCACGGCCAACCGGCATCCCGACGGGGCCGAAACCACTGCTACCTTGGTGGGCCGCATGGTGACAACGTGTCCCTGGATCCCTGGCAATCCTGGAGGTGACTACGCCGACAAAGCCCCCACACAGGCCGAATCCATAGTGTTGAGATCTGGTGACCCCACCTGGCTTCTATCATGAGCAGCCTGACTCCGGCTGGAGGCAGCATCGGCCAGCACGTCTGCAGACGGACGTTCTGCTTGGATCTGCGGCGCCCAACGGAAGGGGCCGACTTCGTAGGAGTAGCAGATTGGCGTTGAGGCATGCGTGTGTGCAGAGCTGCTTCCGAACCTGGTGGACCTGTGCGAGAGCCGGCCTATGGGAGCGTCTCTGGGCAGTCATCGTCCGGCGTGTCCATCTCAATGCCAGGCGGGTGCTCGCCAAAGTAGGCTTGGACCACGTCCATGAGGATATGCTGGGTGTCCTGCGTGCCCAAGGCCCCCATGTAGTCCTGTTGGCTCCAAAGCTACTCCACAGGCACCAGGCCATCGAATGTGGGGGGAGCCATGTAGTGCATGAGAACACCAATGCCAGCACTGTCAGAACGTACCAAGGAGCTCGTCCCATGCGAAGGCGGCTACACGATACAATAAAAAGCTCGAGCCGGGGTGCTTAGAGAGAGAGAGAGAGAGAGAGAGAGAGAGAGAGAGAGAGAGAGAGAGAGAGAGAGAGGGAGGGAGGGAGGGAGGGAGGGAGGGAGGGAGGGAGAGTCAGTCCTCCCCCCCAAAAAGTAAAGAACTTAATTTTCTGGAGATCGTTGGCCCAAAAGAGCCCAACGACCTTCTGACACTCCTTCCGGATCACCTGTAAGTCAACCCTCCACAACCCTAGACTCAGACTCCGCCGCATGAAACCCAAGTCCTAAACCTCATAAGCTCCAGAACAACCTATACCTAAGGCCTTTGAACCTAAATTCCTGCAGCTTAAACCGTAAACCCGAAACCCTAAACCCTAGACCCCAAACTCTGAACACATCAACTCAACATCTAGAACCCTAAGCTTGTCTGGCGTAGGGTGTTGAAGGCTCTGGGGTTTAATAGCTGGGATGTTCCCCCTTTTTCTAACAGCTCCTTAAATAGAGATTCTGACAGTTGGGGGGGGGTACTATAATCCCTACTAAGGACTGTGAGTGCACCGGGGAACATCCCAAGCCTAAACCCTAAACCCTAAACCCTAAACCCTAAACCCTAAACCCTAAACCCTAAACCCGAAGGGTTTCTTCTCCAGAAAAAGAGATGCCCAGTGCCCGGCATAGCGCCGCTGCGAGGGCGTCCAGACCACCTGGGGCGACCACACCTCGTTGCAGCCCAGGGGCAGGGTCTGGGGTTTAGGGTTTAGGGTTTAGGGTTTAAGGGTTTAGGGTTTAGGGTTTCAGGGTTCAGGGTTCAGGGTTAAGGGTTAAGGGTTACGGATCTAGGGTTTAGGGTTTAGGGTTTAGGGATAACCGTAAACCCTCAACCCTGACGTCTAAACCCTAGACCCTATTGTAAACCCTAAGCCCTGAACCCACGGCTGAGCAGAAGCCCTGAATCTCCACCCCTTCCCCTGAAACCGACAGCAGATCTCGGGCGTGCGTAGGTTGGACTCCTGTGCATGTGGGGGTTTAAGGCGTACGGCTTTTCCGATTCAGTACACTCCAGGATGGACCTTGAAACCCTCCAAACTTCATTTCCTACATAAGATCCTCTTACACCCAGTAAGGTACCATATAAAAAATCTAGGGACCTACCTTCAAGGGGCTAGAGGAGGGACCCTTACAAGGGGCCTTAGGGGTTATTTGGGGCTTTTTTAGGGGGTATATAGAGACTGTATAAGATATATATATATATATACAATATATAGGGTTCTATAAGGGCACTAAACCCGAAGCCGTAAACCCGAATCCCCAAACCCTATTCAGGTCTAGTGGGTCCCTTCAAGCGGTCCTTCCTTTTACCCCTGAGTACCTAGTGCAGATATATACAATATAGGGTTATATAAGGGAAATAAGGGCCCTAAACCCTACACCGCAAACCCTAATCCCCAAACCCTATTCAGGTCTAGTGGGTCCCTTCAAGGGGTCCTTCCTTTTACCCCTGAGTACCTAGTGCAGATGGTCAACTGAAGCCCATGCGACTCCGGGTCTCAGTCAGTCCCTACTCCCGTATGGAATCCCGGGACTTGCTGACCTCCTCCAACTTCGTTTTTTCCCAATTTAGGGTTTAGGGTTTTAGGGTTTTAGGGTTTAGGGTTTTAGGGTTTAGGGTTTAGGGTTTAGGGTCTAGGGTTTAGGGTTTAGGGTTTAGACTGTCCTCCAACTTGAAGATTGTGGCCTCCAGAAGCATGAACTCGTCCAACTTGCTTCGAAGCTTCGAACGCCCTAAACCCTAAACCCTAAACCCTAAACCCCAAACCCTAAACCCTAAACCCGAAACCCTAAACCCTAAACCCTATATCCTTGAAACTCTCGCTGCTCAGGTGGTGCTGCATTGCTGCTCGAACCACTGCTGGTCTTCTCCAACAACTGGAGGCTCAACTGATTTCCCTTTTGCAAATTCTTGGCCCAGCTTTCCACTTTCTTCCTGCTTTCCGTGGCCTGTGTGTCGAGGATCCCACTTGACTGCTCGGATCGCAATCAAAAACATCAAGGGATGGCCTGTGAGGAGATCAAAGTAATTGCTTGAAGAGGTACTTGTTGAGAGTGGGAAACCTGGATTGCTTCTCCACAACCCAAACAAACCCTAAACCCTAAACCCTAAACCCCAAATCCTACAAGCGCCAACGAGCGCCACGGATCTCTGGCACCTCTCTCCCTGAGAAGACCCGAACCCCGGACCTCAACAAAAACCTATGTCCTAAACTCGACACAACCCAAAACCCGGAAGCTTAAGTGGGTTCAGGGTTTAGGGGTTAGGGTTTAGGGTTTCCCACCCTGAAGCTTAAGTCCGAAGCCCGGAGCTACCAACATAGCCTAAACAAAAAAAGGGCTTAGGGGTTTCGGGTTCCTGGTTTAGGGCTCCTCTATGCTAGGGTTGCATTTGTAGCATGAAGCTACAAGAACACTGGGGGCTTCAGAAGGCGCTAGGCTGAAGCCAGGCAGCCCAGTTGACGTTGCCCTGCTTCTCCTCGGGTTTGGGGTTTCGGGTTTAGGGGTTTCGGGTTTGGGGTTTTACGGGCTTAGGGATTGGCCCTGCTTTTTGTATGTTTCAGGCCTGAGGGTTGGGGTTTTAGGGTTGGGGTTTGGGGTTTGAGGTTCACGTTCGGCAGTTTTTTGCGATCACTCACAAACACGCAGGAAAAATGCCATGTTCCAGGGTGCGGGTTTAGGGTTTCGGGTTTAGGGTTTGGGGT